CAAAGGGTGAAATATTAAAAATCCTTCGTCAAGTGATCAGTTGGTCGTAAAGTCGATGAAAAATTTACAACAGATCGATCCAATCGTCTTATACATTTTATATATTTGCCGACAATCTCGGAGATTTCCCGAGAGGACGAGTCGTAAAAATAACGAGGCTCGTTACAGACGCAGTTTGACGTTTGCCATTTCTAAAGACGACATTTTTATTCCCAACATGATTTCAAGCTCTTCCGCTTTACGGCATAATTTTCGCAATTTCAGAAAGAAGGAAGAGCGAAAATGTGATATACTGCACAGCAAACACAAAATTGACGCGAGAAAATGTTTGTCGAGACATGCGCAAATTTTGAGTGCACGCGAAAGCGAGTATTTTCTAGGAAACTTGAATAAAAAGATCTGAAAAGAGGAAAAGTTGGAAAAGGCAAGGAGAAAAAGGTCGCGCATGTTCTGTCCACATCAAGAGCACACGTCAAATGTAATTACACGCGCGGTTCTTTAAAAGCAAACTGAATATAGCAAGATATATATTATAGAATAAAGAAATTGCTGTACATCGCGGCAGAAACGATCCCCGATTTTACGTGGTTATCGCTGTCAACTTTTGCCACTCGACATAAAGACAAAAGTTCATCCTTTTCCTTATATTATTTTACTACAGCTGTTAATTCACGTTTCATCGATCGACCGTAACAAAATTGACGAAATACATCGACTGTCGAACGAAACCCTCGTTGAGACATGCGCAGGCGAGAAAATAGCAAGGTGAGGAGGAGAACGACGGCAAGGGGAATTAATAATCTATATCATCGCGTGTGATCTTGGCCGGAATGGAAAATATACATACGATTTATCTTGGCAAGTAAACCGTCGCCATCATCGGCGCCGCAAACCATCGATGGCGCTACTTGATACGACGGGAATTGGTATTTCCCTCTGTAGTTTTCGATAGAGCCAATATTTACCCACAGTCTTAATGTCAGCGCCGGTCGTTGCCAAAATCAACATTCGGATCGGTTTGGCCGTAAGCGGCTTCTCGCGGCCGAGGATCCGAGGATTCGAGGATCCCAGGATCGAATCGGCAGAATACGTAGACGTGAATACGCCTTTACACCACTGTACGCCCACAAGACTATTCAACATTCGTAATACAATAAACTGGGCATTATAAAGATAAAATAACATTTTCGATCGGTCTTCTCTATTGGCGAGATTCGATGCAACTAGACACTTTTTAGGCTTGTTTTTACAACGGAGCAAAATTCGCGACATATAATGGAAGAAAAATTGGCCCTCTGCTCGAGTAGCGAACGTCGACATATATTCAGCAACGTTCTCGTCATTTTATCCGCTGTCTGTTTTATGCTCTTTTCAGCTCCAAGAAAAGTACGCAAATCTCCATCTATCGTTTCGTAGGCCAAAATAGGAAATTATATTAAATGAAGGCTCCTATCGCCCTCACCATAATTAATATTACCAAAATAGGAAAATATAATAATGTAAAAGATGATCGTGTAGAACTGTTACCGCGCTATTTCGGCACTCGGATTAAAAGTACCTCGTGTCGATTATCGTATATTTTCGCGTCAGGCAGTGAAATCAATAATAGGTAAGAAACGATCGTTCCTCTAACGAGATACCCAGGTCTTTCCGCGCCGTTTGTGAATTATTCAACGGATGCGGCAGGCGAGAGAAATGTTTTCATTATGCACGCACACGTATATTCATATGTAGATATATCTCGCACCGACATTACGCGCGTCTTGGTAAAGTTGAATCCGGACCAGGCGAGCGAATGTGTGAACAAACACGAATCAACAATTTGCTTCGATGCGTGCGGAAGACGTCGAGCGAGTACCAGCGTTACACACTCGTTCAAGTTATGCATTCGTATTCGATAGCTCGGAATAAGTCTTGTCCAATTATGTTCAAAGTAATCAAATTAAATATGACAATGATTCCACCTAATGAAAGACCCTGTGTTATACGTCCGGAAGTAACGGCGCGCAGGACAGGTTGGAAAAGATACGGTATATGGATTCACATAGTAATTTAATTGGCTACCTTCACCCCCGCCAGGTCCTAAATGGCGTCTACGTTTCTAATTGAGTTAATAAAATTGCAAATAAATATTGTAATGTTGAGAAAAATATAGTAAATGACCATTTCAATTTAATTTTTACGGAATATTACGCTCGTAAAGTAGAAATTTCTTTTTCGGAGCTTGCAATTAGTGCAACTATAGGCAAAACTGCCCGCATACATGGCACGCACACGAGGACGTACGTACTACACGAACGCGTCGCAATTTTACTCTCTCACATTTTCGCGTATCGCGAATATTCCAAAACGACTGGCGCTGATTGCGAATCTATGGTACTTGGAAATTGAGTGATGCACCGGGGAATGCACGCGGGAATGTGACAAAATGATTGCCATGCGGGAAATACCAAGAAACTGTTACGAATAACGGCGTAGAAAAATGCGACGGAGAGAAAGATCCTTTTATGTTTGGGGAAAAATATCGATTGTGCCCTCAACATCTCGTAAATTCTCAAAACGTCACCCAGTTCGAAAATTAAATCACCGTCACAGATGCGAATCAAGAGGTGGGGGTCAAAATTATTAATGCGCACATTTCTCAAAAAATTATGTATCCGCAAAAACACATGGCGTTTGTCGCGATAATACGACCAAATGTACGATAAAGTCCAATATTCTGATACATACCTTTAACGGTCAAATGAATATTTTTTTCTCTATATTGTCCTTGTCACAATTGTGCCGCGATTCCTGCCACGATTCCTATTACAATTCAGTAACTCGATGTTGGCTTTGAAACCAACACGTTTACAACTTGACTCCATTTTCAGTCGCTTCTCTTTTGCAAATTTAATTTTCTATAGGTACGAGAAAGATCGTATCGCGTACGTGATACGAGGATCGCGAGCGATATGGAGAGCTTTTGAAAAGAAGAATCACCATTCGAGAAATGGTCTAAGCCTTTATTCATCCGGATTTATCAACTGTGGCGTAAATTTCGCTCAAAAGACGTGGGATGTCATCGAATATATTGCTTTTGCGTCCCTCAACATCTTACAAGTAAAAGCCATTACATACTAGTATAATATACGCGATCGATCGTTAATCAATCGTAGAAAATTGAAAGAGAGAGACCCAATTTATCGCACACTGCGCGTGTGCCGTTTACTTGTATAAAATATTAAGATGGAAAGCGAACGTGTAAGTCGTAACTAGAACGGGTATCGGAGACCTTTAATATTTTCAATTTATGTTGCAAACGGTTTTATATTTCAAGCGAGCCTTCGAAACGACGCTGTTTATATTATAAAATTGGACTTTCACACACACACACACACACAACCGAGCGATATAAATTCCTAGGATCGGAGTGCGCCTTTGGCAATAAGAATCGATAAAAATAAATGAGAATATACAGAGAGACACATTTTACAATTACACCCAAAAGCCATTGCGTTGTATCACTTACAATTGGGACAAGAGTAAAGTTTCGCTATTCGATATTTAGACCGAAAAAGCGCTGAAATTCTCAATTGGAGTAAATGTGAAGCGTAACAATCTGGCTCGGGGATATCAATTTGGAAGAAAGATAAGAACTGTGATTCCAAGCATTTACACCGATTTAATTGAGGCCAACTCTCTCTTAACTACCAGTACTGCCGTTGTAACGTGGAAGAACGTACGTATACTAAAAATAGTTGTTCGATGAAAAAGGTACCGAAGTTAAAAGGGTTAATACAGTAAGGTTGAGCCAGGATGGCTCGTCGCTCGGTTGCAAAGAAGCGCGAGCCAGATACAAAGTATCGCGCTCTGACAAAAAAAGAGCCATCATGTATACGTCGCTCCGAAATGCGACTGAGCGAAGGTCCAAGAATTCGTTGACGGTTCTTTAGCGGAAAGCGCAAATCGGGTACGATCTACGTGTGCATTCGCTACTTGTATCGAGAAAGAGATGACAGCTTTGGATAAGAGAGTTTCTGGAGATGACTGGAGTCGGAAAATTGATAAAATTGGTGAATAAACGATATAATTTGGAAAGAAAGTTTGCGAGGAAAGTTGGGTAGCTCGAGTCAGCGTCGAGGGAGGATCTAGTAACTTTTAGGGATAACAGCATGCAAGACTGCAACCACCTGCCGTCGCTCGCGCCACGAGGGATGAGGCACGAGAGGAGAAGGTGGAACGTGGCAGAGGAAGAAGAAAGGGGAAAGCGGATGAACGGGGAGATGGCGAGATGGCGAGATGGCGAGATGGCGAGATGGCGAGAGGGCGAGAGGGCGGAGGTAGCGAGAGGGAGAAGGTAGCGAGAGGGTAAAAAGCGGCGCGACGACGCGATATCGATTCGGTAAGAGATCCGCGCGCGCGAATACACGCCGCGAGAGGAAGGCGGCGGAGAGGAAGACAGGCGCTAGGCGCCCTGACGCTTTATATATAGAGACGGAGCCACAGCGGACGGGCCGTGGCGCTTAAATATAGACGAAATGCAACGGGGTGTCTGCCGGCGCGACGAGATCGAGAGACGAGAAACGCGAGAGCGCGCCGACCTGGGACTCGAGAGATAGAGAGGAGGCGGGGAAGAGCCCTGCATACGCAGGGAACAATTATGGCCGACTGCCTGCGCGTCGTCTGCTACGCGATTCGCGAGGCAGGCGAGGCAGCGAGGCGGCGAGGCACACGTCTTGGCGCGCGCGGAAACGCGTCGTCCGGCGAGGAAGAAGCTGCTCCCAGCTCCGAAGGCGAACGTCTTTCTCGCCGCCGGCACCAACGACCCTCCCCCTCTCCCTCTATGTCCTCTCGTCGCCAATATTATCAGTAGAGACGGGGAAAAGAACTGGTCGGACGACCGAAGCACGACGAAACGAGGATGAAGCCCCGCGCGCGCGCGAGCGAGCGAGCGAGCGGAGCGAACGGAGCGAGCGAGCTCGCGCGGCGCGGCTGAGATATCAAATTGCGTTACTCACTTGCCGAGTTCCTCCTTCAAGTCGTAGTTGTCACTGAACCGCGTGCAAGCCGTTGGCAAAGACATACCGAGGCTGCTCGCGATTAATCGAACCGCACTACCGGACTCGGAAACACGAGCGCGAGAGACCCACTACCGGCCGCCACTATACTGCACACACGCGCTAGGGGAAACTTCGCAGGTCAAATTCGATCAATAGAGGGGAACCGCCGCGGCGCTGCTCGAACACCGGGACGACGGCGACGGCGACGGCGACGACGACGACGGCGGCGGCGGCGACGGCGGCGGCGGCGGCGGCGGCGGCGGCAGCGACGGCAGCGGCGGTGGCGACGGCAGCGAACGACCACGACACTGGACGAGGTGGAGGGGCGATGATACCGGGCTCGCGGGTGGGAAAAACTCGAAGGCGAGGCGCGCGCTAGCACGCTTCGTAGCACCGGCAACGATGACGCACGCTATCGCGATCCGCGTCGCGCTGCCAATCGCTGCTTCACCTCTGCGCGACAACTTGTACCGCGACGCGTCCGCGCTACTCGCCGGCAGATGGTCGACTGACTCGCGTAGTCGCGCCGTGGGTGGGGATGGGCCGTGGGCGGCCAGCGGTGCCCAGCGATGGCGGACTGCGCCTCGCTGCGCGCGCTCGGCTCCTTTGCCACGCGATTTCAACCGAGGGCCGGCATCCCTCCACTCAAACACGAGGCACCACCGATATCGCTCTTCTCCCTTGCGCGATATTGCTACATCTTTTATAGAGCCTGTACTTGATTTCTTACTCTTACTTTGAGACGCCTTGAAAAATCTCTCTCTGATTCCGGAAAGAAGAGCAACATTTCTTCAATGTTACCTGTAACCTTAACGAAACGGAAACGAGTTACAAGCCGTCTCAACCGCGAGTCTCTGCCAAACATTTTTTCGATACGGCCAAAGTCTAAATTAGCCTAACGATTTACGTCCAAGAGAGTTTCGCACGCGGCAGGTCGAGCGACTTGCTCTGGAATCTTGTCGACCAAAGTCAACAAACAGACGGGCTTTCGAATCGGATCAATTATAATATTAGTTGAACACCGTACCTTCTTCAAACGCGCGTGTACGTTTTCCGCCAACGGATTTGCGACGTCGCTCGATATATCGTACAGAGTGGCCGTGTGCGCGCGCCGCGTCGCGCCGCATGTCGGGCGTAAACACGAGATTTACTACTGGCGCGTTCGACCCAAGCGACCGTGTCCGACTTTGCTCGTTACCTTGGCACATGTCCAAACGAAAGGTAAGCATATCTCTGGCAAAATCTACGTTGAAGCAGCACCTGAAATGCCCCCTGCGTTATTCGACGCTTCTTCTAATCCCAAGTCTCCATCTAAAGAGGAATACAGAGGCAGTAGCTTTCTGCATCTCAATTATCGACGATAACCATTTTGCGCTGTGCCTCTTTGTTTTTTTATACTTTCCGCTATACCATACCTCGCGTCTCCAACAGTAATTGGTATTTTAAATGCTTGTGTAAACGCTTGTCCTAATGCAAAATTCCATCGTAATATTTTTTACATTTCGCATCTGTTTCTTCTTCTTTCTAATTTTATGCCTCAAGAATATTTTATGGAATCTTTAATTGTACCTTGACATCACTTAGCCACGACATTAGAGAAAATGTCACGCTTTAAATTGTCCAAATTACTTAATGTCCATTGTCTCGAATTAAGATAAAAGTATACGACTAACTGCCTCAAACACAACACTGAAAAGGAACAATGTATTGTACATAAATCAAGTTGCAATTATATATTTTGTGATTAATTTTACAAAGAATTATGACATGGATCTATGAAAAAGATACGTGTCTTAAAAAAATTGCTATTTCACATCTACGATACAACGATTGCCGTCCAAAGATGAGAACGAGATAACAATCCCTGTATCTTCTTGAATGTGCATCTTGTTGTATAAAGATGAAAAAGTGGAAAAAAAAGCCGTTTGGACATATCTGCGGTACACATACCTACGCACGATTCTTACATCGTAATCGCTATTGCATACAAAAATTTCTATCGTTATCTTAATTTTAACTCGATCGACGAAGAAATCGCGCTGTACCCTTTCAAATCAGAAAAGCATTGATTAATCGATGATTATATTTAAAAACTAGAATTAAAATATAAATGTTAAATGCATTATATATACATATATAGTAGCATATTATTCCTACTTTATTCAATAATTAAGTAGGCAAAAAGGAAAGAGTATCGAGTGTGGCGGCCTAGATAGCTCACGGTAGGAAAGGCAGTCGCCCGGCAAGCGAAAGGCCCCAGGAGTCATGATTCTAATCCTCCGTAATTGTTCTCGCCGAAAAATTATTATTATACAAGATTACAATGGAAAAATAATCACCGATGCGCACATTGGCAAGTTTTCATGTCGGAAATGGCAAGTCGACTATAAAAATTAAACAGTTATCTGACAAAATGCCGTTTGGATATCTATGATGTGTCGCATACATATACGCACACTTATGCACGACAATCGCTACCGCATACGCAAATTTCTAAAATTCTAATCTAGAAATTTTTCTACGCGATAGCGATTACGATGTAAGAATCGTGCATAGGTATGTGTACCAGAGACATGTCCAAAGGGCATTTTTTTAACTTTTTCATCTTTATACAAGAAGGTACACATTCAAGACGATACAGGGATTGTTATCTCGTTCTCATTTTTGGGCAAATCTTGGCTCGATTTGCCATTTCTGAAAAAGTACTTGCCAACGTGCGCATCGGTGATTATTTTTCTATCGTAATCTTTTTGTATTTAATAAAATTATTAAATGTCAACACACAAATTTAAATTGAGTAGGCAACGCGAATTAAGCGAGCTTAATGAAACTGAAAAGTTACAAGTATCTACCGACGTCGATTATTTACTGCATTTGTTAATTGCGCAATGTTATTAATTGCCCGATATTTATAATTATTTCTCTTCTACCTACGATTCTCGTTCTCGTATAGCTTGAGAAAATTTTCGAGTAACCACGTTAGCAAACTTGTAGTCCCCGAAAAATTCATGAAACAATCCATTCGATCTTTACTCAACTGTGACCGATTTAGCCAAGTTTCTCGGACAATCGATGTTACAACCACGCAAAACCGCGATGTGGAAAGACAATAACTGCATGGGAATAACGGTGAGAATTCCTTGCAGACAATCGACAGTTTTAGGTATTTCGAGAGCCCTATCGGCAAAAGCCTTCGTTTCCTCGTCCCCTTCCTCGCAAATAACAATGGGCTTACCGTCTCGCGCGGTAACTTGTTGAAGTGCATTCATGCATTTCTGTAAAATAAATTATCCAACCATAATGTATGCCATACTTGTTATATCCCTTTTAAGGTGGCTCCTGCATAAACCGTTCAAACCGTAGAAAAAATTGAAATTCAAGTATATTGCAGTTGTCAATTTTATCTATCGGTACGCGAAATTTCAGACCCGGTCGCCGATGAAATTAACTAAAGGAAACATGTTAAAGTTGTATTTTTTAACATTCCAGTAAATACCAAGATAGATGTAATATAACACCCATATGTTATATTACATTTACATTGTTAAGTAGGAAATTATAATATTGATATTATGTAACTATTACTTGATGTTCACTGGGACAGGACATCAGAAACACTTTGAGGGCTAATATTATTTTATAGAAAAAGTAGATCTTAACAAAAAACGAGATGAACATGATAAATGTCACAAAAATTCAAATGTGCTAGTAAGTATATGAGGTCACCGACCTCTGCAAGCAAATACTTATTAGTAAAGTGAAAAGGTACAATATTACATATTTTTAAATATGTTTTTAAACGTGCATAAACAACCTAGCATATCAATGCAAGTGATATTTTTGATGAAAAATGTCGTGACGAATTTATAGAAATGAAAAGAGGCCCCACCAAAGCACCCATACTAACCGCTCCTTCGTGCAGGAGCCACCTTAAATTCGTCCTCTACAATGTATATCGTATACAAATATTGTTGAGCATTAAACTTACCACGTACACTGGATCTCTCATTACGATCATAATTACCGGCATGGAATCGTCAACAAGAGCTAACGGGCCATGTTTCAATTCACCGGCCATAATTCCTTCGCTATGCATGTACGTTAGCTCTTTTACTTTCTGCAAATATGTAGAGTTAGTAGTCGTAATAACGTTAGTTGTCGCTTCTTCTCGCGTACTTACGAGTGCACCTTCCATGCAAGTGGCGAAATTGTATCCGCGACCCATGATCAACAAAGATTTGTGTTGAAACAAAGACTTGGCCAGCTCCTTAACTTTATCATCGAGCTTCAATACTTCGCGAATGAGATTGTCGAGATTTTTCAAACCCTCGATAATCTGGAACATAGTAAGATTTAATTACATTTTACAAAAGACAAAAAAAGCAAGAAATGTACGTTAAACGTTGTAGGCGTTACGTACCTGTAAGCGTCTGGCGCGCAGAGAGATTCTGTCCTCGCTCATTACTAGCGCAAACATGACGAGAGAGATGAATTGCGAGGTGTAAGCCTTAGTACTTGCTACACCGATCTCGGGACCGGCGTTGATATGCACCCCACAATGAGATTCGCGACAGATACTACTGCCGACTGTGTTGGTTATACCCACGATAAGAGCTCCGCGACTTTTGCAATAACGCAATGCCATTAACGTGTCAGCTGTCTCGCCTATTATTACAACAAGTACAAGTCAATAACAATCCAATCATTTTTATCACGTGAAAGGGATATTATTACAAGTCTGCTTTCACAAGTAAGCATTTCGTCAAGCCATACCCGATTGAGAAATAAAGAAGCAGACGTCGTCTCGAAAGACTGGCGTATTACGGTCCAAAAAATCGGATGCGAGCTCAACCATCACTGGCAATTCTGTCAGTTCCTCGAGAAGCTGTCGCGTAGCTATGGCAGAATGGTAACTCGTACCACAGCCGATCAGCATGAGACGTCTGCATCTCTTGATCTCAGGAATGTAATCCTGAAAAAAGTATTCTTCTCAATACCAGAATAGACTCCATTTTTCCGTTCGGGAAACACTTTTCAACAATTATTTGCAAGCGTTACTTTAATTCCGCCCAAGGTGACCGAGTTGTCTTGAAAATTCAAGCGTCCCCTCATAGTATTGACCACCGACTCCGGCTGCTCGAAAATCTCCTTCTGCATGAAGTAATCGTAATTGCCCTTCATGATCTGCTGGATCTCCATTTTCAGTGTCGTGATTTCGCGAGCGTGTGGATCGTCCATGCAACGACGAAGACGATGAATACTCAGCGCGCCTTCTTTAACAGCTGCCACGTCGTCGTCCTAGCGATACGAAAAATGTTTTGCAATCCTGCCTAAAATTTGCGATATAGTCCGTCGATTCGCACCTCTAAGAATATCACGCGATTCGTGTGTTCGATTATGGCGCTCGCATCGGAAGCAAAAAAGTATTCGACCTCCTTGTCCTCGAGAGGTTGAAACTCGGATGTACTCTCGCTACGCGGCATCACCGGAAGTTCTGCATTTCTGCCATGCGGACGATGATCTGCGCAAATATTGAGGCATTGTTCTATTTTACAAAGATATTTAAAAAGTCTATTTTTTCAATAAATACAAAATAAAAATGTTGCAACCTGATGTCAGAATGTATAGAGAAAATATTGTACATTCTCGGGATAATGAGAATAAAGCGAACGTATTAATACAGTACGATAAAGAACCACATCTACAATACTAACGACATTATCAACCACTATCGGGATATTTTTGTATATCATACATACGTAACATATGTATACATGTAAAATTTATTACTGCACGTATTATTGCGAAAAGTATTTATTTGCATCAATGTTAGTGAGAAAACAATCAGTGTTGATGATCTCAAAAATTTAAGATAAAAATGGTTAATTATTAATTTCTCTCAATTATTGTTACGATTATTCTACTAAATGTACCTATATTACAGTTTCTGTTTTCTTATCGTATAAGCTATACTGAATTGTCATACCAGAAACGAGAAATCGTGTGAACCTTCTTTCTTCACAGTCTATGGAAATAAATTAGTTTCTCTTTTTTTTTTACCGAAACTTCTTTCTTTAATTCATAAATTACCAGCTGTAAGTTACGAGTTCGAAAATCATGATCGACTATTACACGATCTGTTTTCGTTGAAAATGTAGAATTGAGATGCAGATTAAATTGTATGTGTATTTGCTAATACGAAAAGGGTTTTTGGTCATAAAAGTAAGCAAATTTATTTCGACATATAGAGCACGTAAAGTTTTCACGTTATTCCTCGTTTTTGATGTCACAAATCGATATAGCTGTGCGGTAAATAGAGAAAATAAGAGTATTGAGTTATTTACTTGCTATTACTTGTTTTCTTCTAAGCCCCACACCAGTTGGCACAACATGTAATATCATACGATATAATGAATACGAGCAGTACAAATAGCGACTATTGTATAATTTTAATATTCATACCTCGCAATCTTGAGGAATATTAATAATACCCAAAATATGTTAATTAGCGTAGCTCGCTACGAGACAATGAGAATGGTATCACCGCGACGACAAAACGAACGAAAATAATGCTATGATGTGGTCAACACCTAACGAAATAAATATACTATAGCGATAATTACTCATAGTAGCGAGTGGAAATTAAATATATGTATATCCCGAGAGTATATTACATATTCCTCTCTACATTAATCGAACACTGGATAGCCAGAACCTGTTATCAGCGGAAAGTGGGAGTAACTTGTAAACTATACATGATAGGAAGGTCAAAAGTATACGTACGGAAAGCGTAGCGCGATACCATCCACTATCCATCCAACCATCCATCGTCTTTCCTCGCATAAAAGTCAGAAAGACAGCCAAGCGTTTGTAAAGTTAAAAAAGACCGATCTTACTTATGTACAACGATCAAATCACAAGACAATTCACCGAGTTAATCAGGCATAGAGAGCAAGCGGAGAGAAGTTTAAACTTGACGTAAAGTATTACCTTGAGACGGTGCTTCACCTTCTGCACAGATTGGGACGCGGGGAGGAGGAAAACGAGAAAGAAAACAAAAACGATTAGCGCACAAATAATGCCACAACGGTAACAGCAAAATGATCGATATAACGGCAAACATCAATTTAATGGAACGAACGGCCGGTGCTGTATGCGGTACAAAGGACGAGCATTAAGCGCATGGTGAGCGTTAATTTAAAAAATTTATTAAATACGAAAAATTTTTCCAGAAATTATGTCATTCTTTACTAAATTCTTCTAATGTCTATCGTTAAAGATTATTTCTAAAAGAAAATTACTTTAGATTAATTATTTTATTTCGTCTAAAAAACTCATTTAGAACTTATCTTAGAAATACCACAATATATCAATAAAATAAAATAAAATTTATCACATTAATGATAAATTTTATTTTATTTTATTACATATAATGTGATATAATACGATTTTAAATTGGTACAACACGATCTCAACTTTCTTCATGTCATATATTTTTTTACAAATTTTCCCGAGAAGCATGTTATTACGAGAACACATGCAACTTACACATCGTACAAGTTCTTGTAAATATAAAATATTTGTCGTTTTACCGCGTTTACATTGTTTTGAAGACTAACGCTTCGGTCGAGGGATTACTTGTTAATCCCTTAGATTTTTACGTTTAACAATTAGATCGCACTCCGTTAGCACTCGATAAGTAGTAACGTTGCAATTTTCAACATATCTCGTCGCAACCATTAAAATTTACTTATTTCTGTCTGCTAATTTAAAAAAAAATACATACCAGATATCTCACTTTTAATACCGAAACTTGCGCTCCTAAAGCCGCTTGAAAAAAACAAGTGTCTATATACTAGCATGTAGCGTTCGTGGATTTGTAAGAAACAAAATTATAAAAGTTTCGTCTCGCGCGTAAGCAGGTCTGCGTTACAAG